CTATGCAAAAGTGGTGCCATTCCATGGCACTCAGGACCAGTATATGCCAGATTCTTCAGCAGTGTTAAGGAACCAGATAAACTTGTGTAGATGACTGGCCTGCCAGTACTGAAGCAGTTAATAGGCAAATCAGATAAATGAGGCTCAACAAGTTGTCAGCTGCAGCTCTTACAAATCATCATTCTGTCAGTTTTGACTGATGAGTCTGCAAACATAGGAAAAATCATGGGTTTGGCATAGAAATGTAGCTTCTATCCTCTCTACACAGACTTAATTATAAACAATTTTGTTTTGTATCACAATGTTTACTATAAGCAACTTGAGTATATTGAATATATAAGTTTTGTTAAAAGGAACAGTGATATGCAAATTTTTTACTTCTCTGAACAAAATTAAAAATACAGAAAATGTTGGTTTAGATCCACCTAAACAAACAAAAAAAGTTTTCTCAGATAAATTAAAATCAAAGCATCATTTTATGCTGTAGGAAGAATTTTGTGCTACCCTTTTCAATGTTAGGAGATTTAAAATGAATTTTTTTCAAAAATTATTGTTAAATTATAAAATTTAATTTAGGCCAATTTTAAACACAGCATCAATTTAAATTAACTAGCTGTTTAGTTTATGGAATACTGAGGAAGAACATTCTGATTTTCCATGCTGCTTCCATCCCAAAGTCTATATTGAACTCAACACTGTTGATTTTCAGATATTTAAAACTTTTTTTCAGTGAGTAAGCCATATTTATGCAAAAATGTTCCACTGCATTCCTTGAGAAGTAGACAAGCATCATTGAGAATTACTTCTAGTCTACATTTTCCTCTCCTGTGCTGGGATCAGATTCCATTACTTAACATTCCAAATGGCACTGGAGATATTACAAGAGGTCAAAGAATACACATGAACATAACTGGAATACATTTCTGGCAGGACTGTGCCATGACTACAGGGCTTACTGTGTCCCTCTTCTCAGCTGTATTCCCACTGAAGTCTCTCCTCTTGGACATTAGTAGCAATGGCCAAGTTAGCAACAGACCAGGTCCTAAAATTCACTGTTCCAGTTATTACAACAGCTCACAAACATATTTTAGAACTTATTTACTCAGTGTTTGCAAAGGACTTTGAGTACAGCAGAGTAGGAGGAGCTACATAATGGCTGTGGGGTTTTGCAGGCTGAGCTTTTATATTCCAGTGGCAGAACTGGGCAGTACATGCCTGACTTTGCTTCTTGAACAAGTGTTTGGAACACATTCCTTTCCTGTGCTGTTGCTCCTTTACATTGATTCACAATGGTAAGCCATTACTGATTCAAATTCAGTTCCCAACAGCATCTGTAGCATCTCAGTAAGGTTTAATTTGTCCCCAAATAACTCTCTTCCTATTGCAACTAGCTGGATGAAGAAAAATTAATTTTTGAAGAAGCGTAAACTGGATTGCTTTAGACTGACCTGGATTTTTTCATTTTGTGAACACTCTGTGAGGGAAAGTGTGATGAGCCTGACTAAGTGACAAGCAGCCAAAGTCTGTTTTTCATTTACACTAGCACAAACCTAGATTATGCTCCACCTCTGTAAAGAGACATGGGGCCCTCAGGTACACAGGAGCCCAAATTTCCCTTTGGGAGCAAACGGACACCATTCAACACATCACTACACTTGGCATGCTAACTTTGTATTATTGCTTCTATAAATCTCTCTGAAAGACTCCCAGTAGAAGTCTAATGCTCTCATAAAGATCCAAATCATATTAAACAGGCACAATCACTTAATGGGTAATGAGTTCCTCAGGAAGTGCTACAGACCATTTCTATTCGGAAACATGCAAACAAATGGAATTTTTCTTTCAAAATGTTAAATGAAATTTCTCTTTTCAAGAATGATTGACACAACATGGTGTTTTATCAGTAATTCAAAAAGATTCATTTGGTGAGATGCGTTGTCATAGTCTGTGGTCAAAGGTACAACATGCAAAAGAGCACAATTAACTAACTAAAGAGTCAGTGAAATGTTTGATTTCTAGTGCACATCCCAGCATGTTACTGTTCTCATCACAACTTGCTGTAGGCAGTCCTTCTCACTGTATTGTTTGTATCCCAGCTGTAGGCTATTAGACTTCCATTGTTGTATTTACCATTTTAATAAGCCTTTAAGACTTTCCTTTTGAAAATGAGCAGTTACTGAAGCTATAGAGAAAGGCAGGTTTAAGGAAAGATCTTGCTGTTCAGTACAGTCTCGCTTTTCCTTATATCTGATTCTTACTACTTCTGAATGACAGGAGAGGACCGACCTGCCTGGGTCACCGGGGCCTCACAGCAAAACAGGCAGGACTATCCTGCCTGCTGCAAGAGAAAAAAAAAAAATATAAAAATCTTTAAAACAAATGGCTAAGCAGCCCCACGTGCTGTGAAATCCACTGCAAAGGCCCCCAGCAGGTCTTCGGTTGCTCTCAGGCGTGCTTGGTGTGCCATCTAGTGACAGGCATATCTTGTCCCTTCCCTACACCCACTAAAGGAACAAAACACACACATGACACAGGAACAAAACTGAAATGCCTACAGACCCACCCCTCCACCCCAAGCCCTGCATCTATTCTCGTCTTCTTTTTCAGTTATTCCCACTATTGTCCTTCTCATACTCACTACTCTCCCATCCAAGCACAGATCTTTCACCTCTCCTGGAGCTTGGATTGCTGGAGCATTCTTTTACTGGCTCAGTGAGTTATAAATCCCTGGCCTCAACAGAGGTCTGAACAAAATGAGCAAGGTAACAACAAAGGGAGAGATAGTTGGTTCCACCTGAGCTTTCCCAAGGAACAAGCACAGCTCACTGCTAAGGAACAGCCCGGTTCCAGCAAACCTAGGGGAAAGAGGATGACACCACAGCAGGTAAATCCTCAAAGGCACTGAGCATCAGGCTGCTTCCTGCTCTCATCCTCCAAGGACAGGAATACAATCAGGAAAAACAGTACCTGTGTTGCTCCAGATCTGCCCCCCTCAAGCATTACAGTGCAAACCCCTCCTTCACATCCCCAGCTGCCCACTTCCTCCTACCCTATACAAAGCCCTCAGATTAGTACACAGGTGCCACATCAGGGATGGGGATCAATTAAACCCTGGATTTTCCGGTCTGTTTTGAAAGAAATGTTGCCTTATGGACAAGCTAATGCAATTCTTAGCTTCCAGTCTGACAGATGCAGCAGATACATGGGGTAATACTTCTGAATAAGTGAGCATCATAAGACATAAATGAGTGGAAAAAATGGGAGGCTGAGGGCCAAACTCACATCTGGTGAATCAAAGGAAAATACAATAGCATTTACAAACTGTTCCCTTAAAGCTTGCCTGCAGTGCCTTCCTTTGACTTCTTTCAGAACTGTAAAAGACAACTCACATAGTACAGTATTAAAGGAAACTTCAAAACTGTGAGCATAACCCACACCCTTAATGATTTCCTTGAAAGAAGTGTGTACCTGCCCCAAAAAATGGCAAAAGCAGTACAAAAAGTCAGATGGTTACTTCTATTTTTCCCTTTTCATCCTTTAAGTACTGTCCTTCTTTACATACACTGCTAGTTTCATTTCTAGTCTCTATAGGCTGAGCACTTCTCAAGTTTTAAAATGAAACTGGTAACACTTAAAAATATTTTCATGTTCTTAAGACCTTGTGGCTAATACAGCCCCTTAACTTATTAAATAAATAAATAATTAAAAAACTAACAATCAATCATACCTTCTTAAAAAAGCATAAAATTTACCTGAGTGCACTGCAGGGAGAGTACCTGACCAGGGCAGCTTTTACAGCATGATAACATCTCTTGTCAGTTTTTAATATCGAAGAGAAACTGGGTCTCTGTTTTGCATGCTGAATAGGAAGGTGACTGTAACTGGGGTTCTACATTATTTCCACAGCTGCCTGTTTCTCTATTTATAACTGAATCAAGACTGCATGGTTTTGAAAACCAGAGAGTAATGGTTCTTAACAGCAAACTCTGCATGTAAAAAATCAGAGAGTTTGTTTATAACATTCATTTATTCCTATGGTTAAATCAGTTCGGTTTTAAGACCTTGATTTCCCATTATACTTTTGCTGGATGATGGAATTATAAATACAAACCAGGTGAAATTCATTGGTGATGTGACAAGGTGCTGAGAGTGGTCATGTAATAGTCAGCCCACAAAGACCAGATTGCAGGAATGAGACCAAATTTCAGCACAGCTACTCAAACCAGCTTGTAGATGAATCCCTTATCCCATCTGGGACCATCTGACATCCTTTAGCTGGGATTTGAAGTCCCTAGGAGTTAGGCATCTAGTTATAATTCAAGCCTTGGAAAACATACTGCCCACCCCTCCCCGATCCCTGCTGAGAATGTTTTAAAGGACTTAACTTCAAGGATTAAAGTGCAGGACATTAACAGTGAAAATCCACCTTTAATGGACAGGACTCAAGTGTAAATAGTATTGTCTGTAAGAAAATCTCTGCCTCCAAGAGCCTGCAATTCTAACAGATGAAGCAGAAGTATGGTTACACACTCCTATGATTTTCTCCATACACTAGGGAATGTGGGACAGCACAGATTTCTGCTGGTGGAGACTAAACAGAAACCAACATCAGAAAGCAGATATTGAATAGCTTCTGTCATGGATTTACACAACTCTTTGTCACGTGGCAAGGGCAAGCAGTAATGGGATTCCTGGATTCTATCTGTGGCTCTGTGAGTAGCCTGTCATGTAGTGCTACAGTTTACAGTTTTGGAACACTTTCTTTTGAATGACCTGGCAGGCTAAGAAAGGGAACATCAGGCGTGTCGTTGTTAGCAACGCTGGTCCTTCTTCCCCGTTTGCTCAGTAACAAGGATACAAACCACCACGAGCAACTAGCAGAAGAGGCAAGTGTTATGCGAGGTGTCCCGAAGCAGCGGGAGGCCAGAGAGGGAGCCCGCCTCCCCCGCTCCGGAGAGGATTCTGTCACCACCACCTCATACTGCCGCTCTCATACACACCTGCGAGCCTCGGGACGCTCCAGCAGGCCCCGTGATCAGGGCCTATTCCAGGGTGGCCGAAAACAGGGGAGCAACCACCGCACCTCCCTCAGGGGAGGCCCAGGCCCAGGCCCAGGCGTAGGCGGCCGGCGCCGCCACCTCCTCCTCCTCCTCCTCGCCTTCCATCGATAGCTCTGCGCTTGGCAGCGCACGCCTTAGCTGGGCCTCTCGTCTCCCTCCGGTCCCGGATGGACCCTCCTCGTCCCCACCCTTCCCGCCCATCGATATCTCGGCGCTCGCCCCGC